GGAAGTCATATGGGAACCCACCAACGGAACCCGAGGAAGACATGGCTCCTCCATGTTCCTGCGGCTCCATGCTTGAAACTCCCGTATGAACTCCTTTGGTAAAGCAATGTGCGTCGGGACATGCATTGGTGAATCGGTCTATTTGACCAAGTTGGCTTCCCTAGGGTATAGGGCAAGTTATTGTGTGAATGGTGTGGGAACCCAAAATGCAGGCCCCCACCCCCCACCCGCGGAAACGTGACGATCGGGGTGGCCGTGTAGGGTTGAGGGTTCATGAACTGAGGGAAGGAGGAGCCTTAATCGCATGGTCTAGCAGGCTTCCGCCCTCGTTGACCGATTCACCCAAACCTCAACCGAAGGGCTTGCGGGGTGTTTGTAAGGGGCTTACAGGGGTCTACAATATAAGGGTCTATGCCTAAGCCGTAAACCCGCAACCCACAATTCCTGTACAGCTTGAATTCTATTGCGGAGGTCTACGTCCAACTCAAAAAGTTTGAGCCGTAAGACCAGCGTCACGCCAAACGCTAAACTAACTTAAGCTGAACTCCCCGAAGCGCTAGTATCCCGAGCGCCCCAGGACCTAGGCACTCAACGGGAACGCGTTTGTTTGCTGCGCAGGGTGTATGCAAAACTTTAAACGCTCTGTGAACCCTAAACCCTAAACCCGAAACCCTAGCCTCGTCACGAAATGGGCTCAAATTCGGAATTCAGCACACTTCGCTCCAGGCACCTGGTGCCCTCCACTCCCCAGTGACGGCAAAGCCTGGGCTTCACGGACTTAGGGTTTAGGGTTTAGGGTTTAGGGTTTAGGGTTTAGGGTTTAGGGCTTCGATGTGGTTGTTGTAGGATGTTTCAAAGTTGTCCCGGATGCCTCTGAACACCCTGGTGTTTGGGGGTTTCCGACACCGGGGTTGTTTCACTGTTGGGGTTCCTATGAGAGGGATCATCGTATTTTGCAAGGGGGTCCCCGATGCCCACATTTTATATGTGTGAAGTAAGTTGAGGCTTTGCGGTCCCCTGGGGTCTTTGCCGGCTCTTTGAGAGCAAGATCTCAGGGCCTCTTGGGGTGCTCGGAGCGCTTTGAGGGTTTAATTGGATCCAGCTTATGCCTTGGCTGCACTCAGGAGGGTAGCCAAAAATTAAACTTTTAGCTGCCTTATTAAGAAACCCAATTAACCCAAAAAGGGTAAGGATCTAAAGTTACAGTAAAGTACCACAAAGGTATGGTTCAGGCTAAGCCCCGCAGCCCCGCACCCGGAACCTGAATCCTGAACTCTTACACGCGAAGCCCTACAACACTGAACCCTACAACCCCCTTGAACCACCCGAAACCCAAAACCCTAAACCTAATTCCTAAACGCTCCGAACCCGAACTCCGACAGACATAGCCAGCTCTCCTGAATGTCCCACTTCGGGTCCCCAAAAGCGTCTAGGGCTTAGGGTTTAGTGTGTAGGGCGTTTAGTTTACGGTAGGATTTAGATGCAGGGTGCCCGCATCAAAGGGGGCCATAATGAAGCGAACTGGCCGTGTGGGAGGCTCTCTAAAATGATTTTTTTTTTTTTTTGGGGGGGGGGGGAGGGGCTGCTATTGTGGTTCGGAGCCTCAGATATGCCATCAAACGGCCTCTTTTTTTTCGCCCTCCCCCTCCCCCCCTCCCCCCCTGGCATGCGAGGCGCTGCTTCTGGATCCACCGCACCTAGCACTCCACGGGTTTGGGGGGTTTAGGGTTTAGGGTTGAGGGCTAGGGCTTAGGGTTTAGGGTTTAGGGTTTAGGGTTGAGGGTTGAGGGTTGAGGGTTGAGGGTTGAGGGTTGAGGGTTGAGGGTTAGGGGTTGAGGGTTGAGGGTTGAGGGTTGAGGGTTGAGGGTTGAGGGTTTAGGGTTTAGGGTTTAGGGCTTAGAGTTTAGGGTTTAGGGTTTAGGGTTCAGGGTTCTGAGCCCTAGCTCTTGCCAAGCCCTGGCCCTACACCCTTAACGTGAGGCTTGTGGGCTTGTGGGGGCAAGTTTAACGTCAGGTGGAAGTCTACACTCGAACCTAGGGGTTTAAAGGGATTAGATGTTCAGGCTCCTGTGTTTGAGCCCAGGTTGGACCTGACCTCCATACTAATGGTAGTATCCCCTTATCTTCCCTATACAATTATACGAGAATGACCCCCCCCCCCCCAAACCCTATTCTAATTATGAAGGCCCCTAAACCCTAAACCCTAAACCATAAACCCTAAACCCTAAACCGAATTTACTGAAGATCCACCCAACAGCCTCGGCAGGCCGGAGGTCGGAGCCAAAGACCACCTACCAGGCCGAGCTAAGGGCTTGAGCGTCTCGGGGATCAGGGCCCTAAACCCTAAACCCTAAACCCTGAACCCCAAACCCTAAACCCTAAACCCTAAACCCTAAACCCTAAACCCTAAGGGTGTTAGGGGCTTAGGGGCTTAGGTGTCGGGGGGCTTAAGGGTTGAGGGTCTTCGACCCGAGGCGGCATCTGAGACCCGACCGCCTTCTGCACCGTTTATGGTTTAGGGTTTAGGGTTTAGGGTTTAGGGTTTAGGGTTTAGGGTTTAGGGTTTAGGGTTTAGGGTTTAGGGGGTTAAGGGTTCAGGGGGTTTAGGGGGTTCAGGGGGTTTAGGGGGTTTAGGGGTTTAGGGGTTTAGGGGGGTTTAGGGGTTTAGGGGTTTAGGTTTAGTGCAATTCAGAGTCCTTTTTTTCACCCCTCAACGACCAAAAGCCCTGAGCCCGAAAAACCGAAAAGAGACCTAAAAGCCCTAAAGCCCTGAAGCAGGCTTAGGCTTTGGGCTTACGGTTTGGGTCTTCAGGGCTTGAGGGCTCAAGGGTTTGATTCTTCAGCCCTAAACCCTGACCTCCCAAACCCTAAACCCTAAACCCTGAACTCCCTAAACCCTAAACCCCAAACCCCAAACCCCAAACCCTGAACTCCTAGGAAAAAGAGAGACATGCACCTCTTGAACGCCATCCTGGAGCACCAGCCTGGGTGGCATGCGGGAGGCATTTCGAGTTGGGGGGCTTCGGGTTTCGGATTTCGGGTTTGGGGTTTGGGGTTTAGGGTTTAGGGTGGAGGGTTTGGGATTTCGGGTTTAAGGTCTGGGGTTTAGGGCTTAGGGTTTAGGGTGTAGGGTTTGGGATTTAGGGTTTGGGGTTTGAAGCAGTGATATCATTGCGACAGAGTCAGACTAATCATCTGCTGATACTTGCCTTTCTGCTTTTGGAATGCCTACGTGGCACAAGAGCAACAACACCGCAACCTAGTACGTAGACCAGGGATGATATTCAATCCTGCCAGATTGGGGCCAAAACGAAGAGGCCCGACTCCAGCTACGCACCTGCGCACCGCACAGATGGCAGCGCACTTGGTGGCACTACTAGGGCTTAGGGTTTAGGGGCTTAGGGTTTAGGGTCTAGCGGCAGCGGAAATTCCTCTCAGAGACAGGGGCCAGTCCGGCAGTCTACTGCCTGCAGCGGTGCGTGCACATCTTCCGAAGAGATCGAGAGCGGCGGCGGCGGTGGCGATGGGAGTTTACGATATTGGGGGTGCCTTAAGGGCATCCTACAGATTGGGGGGGTCTGTTTTAGGGGTCCCCTATTTTCGTAAACCCCCATATGGAGTAGTCCATGGGATTGAGGACACTTCTGCGCACACATGCCTGTTCAGAGACACTTTTTGAGTAGGCAAAGTTGAGAAGACAGCGCTGGATCCATTGGGGTCCCATAACGTTGGGGCTTTCGGGTTTAGGGGGGAGCTCTACCCGCTCAGGGCAGAAGGTCGAAGGCTCGGAACTCAAAGCTCCGATACACGATCTGCCATCTAAGTGCAGCCCCCAAACCCTAGGGTCTGAAGTATGCGCCCGTACTTGGGGACCCTATTTGCTACCCTTATTTCCACTTTATGTATTTTACAGTAGGGCCGGCGGATCCCTATAAACAAGGGTAAGGGATCATACGCAGCGCCCATGGCAAACCGTGAGTAAGAGGGTATCAACCATCTAAGTGCAGCCCCAAACCCTCGGGTCCGAAGTATGGGCCCGTACTTGGGGACCGTATTTGTTACCCCTTTTCCACTTTATGTATTGTTTTGACTTGAGGGTTTGGGGCTTCCTTCCCACTCAGCAACAACAACAATACAAAAAGGATGAAAGACCATGCTTCATCATCTGACCCGCAGCCCCTCAACCCTCAGTGCAAGCTCCATAAACCCTAACACCCTCACACCCTAAGAGCCTAAACCCGAACCCTCAACCCCACACCCTCAACCCCAAACCTCGAACCCTAAACCCTAAACCCTGAACCCTGAACCCTGAACCCTAAACCCTAAGGGTTTTAGGGTAACCCGGGCCTTGCCATAAACAGAAATCCACATGAACCCCAAGAGCACTTCCTTCAAAGATCCTGTAGATTGGCCCAAGAGCCGACAGTCAGCGTCGGAGACGCAGAAGAGGCCAGGATTTTCCTAGGAGCTTCTGTTTTCGGGTTTATAGGGCTTATATTATGAGGTTTAGGGTGTATGGTTTAGGTTTGGGTTTAAGGTTTAGGGTCTAAGGAAAGGGTCTAAGACCTCAGGGAACAAATGAAGCCTAAAAGGGTTTGTGGCCCGCACACCTTGCTAGGGATTAGAGTGGCTTCGGATGTATGGCACATGTTAAGGCTTCAAATGGTCATCCGGGTAAACCAAAACTAAACGCTGAACTTTTGTCGGCTAATGGTCTTTGGGCTTTCTAGGGCTTTTGGGTTCCGGGCATCATGAATTGAGGGGTCTACCCTACACCCTAAACCCTAAACCCTAAGCCCTAAACCCTAAACCCTAAACCCTAAACCCTGTAGGGGTCAAATGTTTAGGGCCTTCGGGCCTCCCAGGGCTCCCAACCAAGTACCCATCATGGCATGCTGGGGTTTGATGGCCCGAAACCCTAAGCCCTAAGCCCTAAACCGTAAACCCTATAACCCTAAACCCTAAACCCCAAGCCCTAAGCCCTAAACACTAAACCCGCCTCAACCTTGAAAGTGCTGAGGGCTCGGTTTGGGTGGTGCCTGTGGGGTTCGCTGGGTCCGATAAGGGCTCGGGTTTAGGGTGTAGGGCGGGGGGGGTAAGACAGGATGCACCAAAACCCTACGCTCCCTACACCCTGAAGCCCCCAACGCCCTAAAGGCATCTTGGGCTTGCGAGGCAAACCCGGCGCTGCGCGGCTTGGGCCCGTGTTTGAGAAAGGCTTCGGGCTTCGGGTTCAGGCTTACACGAAGAACAAGGGGCGTGCTTTAAGGCATCTGCAGGAGCCGGCATACATCTTCACACCCTGAACCCCCTGAAGCCTAAACCCTAAAAGCCTCAAAGGACGACTGGCCACCTGAAGGTCGGTCACATTGGCGGTGATCTGCGACAGGGACAGCCGCGACACCTGAGTGGGGCGTGGTCGACCTGACCCTCGAAGCCCTTGACGGCACATTTTCGTACAGCGGAGGGTAGCCAGCTGGGGTCAGCACTCTGGTTTCTTCATTAGATTTAGTTTAGGGAAATACCAAGGGGGCGCTCACATTTTAAAGGAATTTAGGGAAATACCAAAGGGGCGCTCACATTTTGAAGGAATTTCTCCTCCTCTGTATTTCTCATGCCTGTTGGTGCAGGCGGCAAGGCCTTGCATTGGGTGGGGATCGATTTCACCTCGTGCTTGTTGGGATGTTCCCCCTTACACAAGAGTCCTTAAATTAGAGTCCCCCTACTAGAATCCCTATTAAGGGCCGTTAGTATAAGTGGGAACATCCGAATGTGCTTGCATGAACGAGTCTGCGCAAGCAACATCCTGCTCGCACAACAACAAAACCAACCCCAGCTACCTGCGGACCCCTCTGAGACCGACACCTGGGAGGTCACCTGTGCAGCTGCGGGAGTTCAGGGCAAGCTTCGGCCCAGTCCCTCCTTCTCCGGGTTTGGGGTTCAGGGCTTGGGGGTTCAGAGGTCTAGGGGTGCCTAGGCCCTGGAATCTGGAAGCCCTATTTCAACAGGCACTATACGCGCCTTAAGAATTAGAATTGGGTTTTGGGGGTTATTATAGTATAAAGGGACCATGAAGCAAACACTATTGGTAATGATTCCGACACCTGTATTACGCCACTGCAGGGTTGGGGCAGAGGGAGACGGAGCTCCACGAGACCAGGGTGCAGGGTCCAAACCCCCAAAGCCCCTGGAGCCGTAAACCCTCACCCCTAAACCCTAAACCCTAAACCCTAAACCCTAAACCCTAAACCCTAAAAAACTCGAACAACCTAAACCCCCTAAACCCGAAAATGTGCGTTCCAAAGCCTAAGGCCCCCCAGAAGCCTTGTCCACCCGAGCCACCCAAACACCTGGGAGCACCTCGAGGCACCCTGACTCACCTTTGGAGCTTCGTGCCAACAGCAAAAGGAACACTCGGGCTCAAGATCGGTACAAGTTGGTAATATAGGGGCCTGAATGATTAGAATAGCATTTCGTGGGGCTTCTTGTCATATCCGGACCAGAAGGGAAAACGATTTGTAATTCTTCCGACCCCCACATTAGGGTTCAGGAGCCCCCTTCAGGGCTTCATTAAGGGCTTGCGGTTTGAGGCTTCGGGTTCAAGGGTGTCGGGGGAGCGGACAAGCCCGTTGAGCGATAAGGATGATGGGCCTGATAGTCGGCGGAGCCGGCGATCAGCGTCTGGGACAGACTTGGGGTCAAGATGGTGCTGAACCTGGGAGAGGCTTTTTGAAGTTTCTAGGGCTTTTTGGGGTTTTAGGGCAATGGGATGGTTTGGGGCCGGGCTTGGGTTCAGGGTACTGGGGATTGGGGCGCAAGCATGTGTACACGCAACCTAGGGTCGGTTTGAACCTCATGGCATCCCGCAGGGCCCCTAAGCACCAAAAGGCCCCTAAGCACTGGAAGCCAAGAGACAACCCATCCCGCCACCCTAGACGTCGCAAGGCACGGAAGCCCTCTAATACAGGGGCCTTAGGAATTAGAACAGGGTTTTGGGGTTTGTTACAGTATAAATGATAAAGAGACCATAAGGGCGCACTATTAGTAATTGTTCCTTACAACTGTACTTGTAACCCAATTCCAACCCTATGAGGGTACCTAAGCTGCTGGTATGTAGGCCAGAACTACCACTCATAATGGGCTGCCACACCCTAAGCCCTAAACCCTGAACCCCCCCAGTACACCCGAGGACTCCAAGATTGTGCGCCAGGGAGCAGCAACATGAAGCCCACCGCCCAGAACGGCAGCGAAAATGGGATAAAGGTCCAAGGCACCTTGCAGGGCACGGATGGGAAGTTAGGGTTTGGGGTTTAGGGTTTAGGGTTTAGGGTTTAGGGTTTAGGGTTTAGGGTTTAGGGTTCAGGGTTCAGGGTTTAGGGTTTAGGGTTTAGGGTTTAGGGTTTCGGGCTTATAGGGTTTAAGGTTTATAGGGTTTTGGGCTTAGAGAGTTTAGGGTCTGGACGGCTTGACCGCATCTTACAATAGGGTCCAGGGTTTAAGGTTTAATTCGGCTTTCGGGTTTAGGGTTTAGGGTTTAGGGTACCCTACACCCTAAAGCCTAAACCCGAAACCCTAAACCCTAAGCCCTAACCTTAAACCTTACTCCCCGCGCTGCTGCAAAGTGTGGCAACTCCTGACCCTGACTCGGACCGACAATCCGCTCTGCTGGAGCCGCCAAACGAAGCGGACTTGCACACGCCTTCTATCAACCCGAAGCTGTTTGGGTTTGGGGTTTGGGGTTCAGCGTTTAGGGTTCAGGGTTGAGAGAGCCTAGCCCAGAATCCCCCCCTTATCTCTCCGGAAGCACGCCGCTGCTGACGGCTGCAATCGTCCAGTAGCAGACGAAGGAGAGCCAGAGAATGGAGAACAATACCTGGAGCGTTGTGTTTCTTGTTTGGGGGGGCGGGTGGGGGTTGAGAAATCATCCTCTCGGCCCTCTTGGTATTTAAAGTCTCCAAAAAAAAACATCGTTTCCTGGGCCTCTCTTATTGAAAGGCCCCGGGTATTACTAAACCCGATAAATTGGCACATTGCCCTATACTCGCAGTCCTTAATAGGGATTATAGCCCCCCCGAGTGTAAAAATCCCTACCAAGGACTGTTAGAAAAAGGGGGAACATCCCAAACTAAACCCTGTAAACCTTATAAACCCGTAAGAATCCCATAAATCCTATAAACCCTATAAACCCTATAAACCCTAAACCCTATAAACCCTCCAAACCCTATAAATAAACCCTCTGAACCCTATACACCCTATAAACCCTCATAAACCCTAAGAATCCCCTTGTAAGCCCTTAAACCCTAAAACCCCTGAAGCAAACCACGAGAGCCTGCCCCAGCACGTCGAGCCGCAGTCCGGGCGCTGGTATCTTGACCTTTGTCTTCGCATGTAGGCTCATGTAGGGTTTGGGGTTTGGGGTTTGGGGCTTGGGGCTTGGGGTTTGGGGTTTAGGGTTTAGGGTTTGGGGTTTAGGGCTTGGGGAATCCCCAAAGGCCGCAAACCCTAAACCCTCTCAACCCCCAATTCCTAACTCCCTGAAACCACCTGAGCCCAAAACCCTGCTCGAGGAGTCTACCAATCCCCGCCGCATGGGCGCGGAACACCCGGGAGTCGGGGTCTAGGGTACAGAGGACAATGTGTTCCCCACCTCCCTGTCTGACACATACCCCTGGCCGTGGACTGCGGATAACAGGCATGTCATGTAGAAAGGGCTTGTCGCAAACGGGCTTGTCGCACGAAGAACGGTTTTGATACCAAACCCTTGCGCAACAGGCCCCCCAAGCCAGTTACGCGTCCTGTGTTTTTGGCCCGCGCCCACATTGGTTTATCTGAACACGGTGGCGACCGCAAGTAAAACGCAGGGCAGGGAGTTCCTGGTGCAAAGAGCTTCTCACACCAGCACCCCAGGCAGAAGGCTACTCCTTTGAGTTTCGGGGTTGGGGGGGGCTCCTGATAGGGGGCTTTGAGGCTGTGGACTGCAGCTGCTGCCCGGTTCCGACCTGGAGGAGGGATCAATGTGCTGGGGGAAGGGATAGGTCTGACATTCCCCAAGGCCCACCGACCCGCGAGCCCTGCTTTCATCTAAACCCTCAACCCGAAGCCCCCCCGAAGCCCCCCCAAAGCCCCAAAGCCCCCAAAGCCCCAAAACCCTAAACCCTAAACCCTAAACCCTAAACCCTAAACCCTAAACCCTAAACCCTAAACCCTACACTTCCGAACCCTCCAAGCCCTAAGGCCCTAAGCCCGGTGGCAATGAGGCGGCCATTCAGCTCTCGGGCTTCCAGTCGGGATCCCTGGAGTCGACGGGTTTAGGGTTTAGGGAGTTAGGGAGTTTGGGGTTTGGGGTTTAGGGTTTAGGGTTTAGGGTTTACGGTTTAGGGATCCGCCGACTCCGACCAATTGTGTTTCAGGGATCCGCCCATCAATCAGGATTGCAGCGCACGCCCACCCCCCAAACCTTCCCCCCACCCCCGCCGCCCCCCCCCCCCCCCCCTCCCCCCCCCCCCTACCCCCCCCTCTCCGGTTGATGGGGCTGCCCTCCTTCAAGCTGGCTTCAGCTCCTGTTGGGGTCCTGGTGCTACCCCCTACCCCCCCCCCAACGTTTCACAGAGGCTCAAGCAAATCAACTTTTGGCATCCTTTGAGCTGACGAGCGCGTTGAAACCTTTCAACTATGCTCCAGCGGGGTCGGCGGCTTGAGCCGGAGGCTCTTAAATCCGGCCCCCGCGCCGCCCGTGGTCCAGGGCGGAGCCCGCATCGCACTAAAGCGCTAGCTTTAAGGGGCGAGCGCCCGAGCCGCCGACTCCGCCCAAAATTGCTTCATATTCGCGCGGGGCCCTTCGGGAGGCCTCCAAAACGGCATCCAAGGGGACGCAACACGCGGTGGTGCGAAAAGCACGACAACCACGTAAAAACCATGGTTCTTTACGAAAAACCGAGGCCACAAAACACCCGCAGCACCCCATTAAACCCTCACAGGCTCGACCCTAGCTTTTCACATGGGGCGCGCGCCAGGCCGAAACCACGTTTTTCAAGGTTTGGGGGGGGTACCGGAAGCCCAAAACCAGGCGAGCATCATGAGCATCAGCAGCCCTGGCCCGCGGCCCCAAGGCAGTAAAAAACGCTGAAAAACGCTGAAATCACCGTAAATACCGTGTTTTTATGAGGTTTTTCACGCGTGCCTCCGACCCCCACCCTTGTTGCCCTTGACCCGCCCCCAAAGTGCGCATCATCGAAACCCATGTCCGGGGGGGGGTCTGCTGATGCTGCTGATGCGCGGGGGTCAGGCATCGTTTCTCATGGGCTTCGTGGGCCTCCGGGCCCACGGCCCAGAGACCCAGCTGATGCTCATGATGCTTGTTTTGGGGGGGGTTCCAACAGCAGAAAACCTCGTAAATACCGAGTGTTTTGTGGGTCCACGTAAAAACGCCCCTAAAATCGCTCATTTTACGCGCTCGAACGGCTTCGTGCCTACAAAACACCCGAACAGCAGGACCCCGAATGCCCTTAAGGGCATTCGGGGTCTTGCTTTTGGGGGTTTCGTGGGCACGCAAGCGTTCAAGCACATACAATCGGCGTGTTTAAGGGGGTTTTGGATGGCCTGGGGGAGGCCGCTGATGCTCATGATGCTCCCTTTCCTGGGTCCCAAAAGGCTTCCCAAGCCCAAAAACACGTGTTTACAGCGTTTTCTGAAGGTTTTTCGAAGGCAAAACGCATGCATAGAATGCTTTTAAGGCCCCCAAACCAACCCCACTGATGCTCCTGATGCGGGTGCGCGCGCGCGCGCGCGGCGCGGGGGGAGGGGGGGGGGAGGGGGGGCGAAGGCAGGAGAAAGAGAGACAGAGAGAAGGAGAGGACAAAGACACGGGAAAGAGAAGACAGTGCCAAGGTTCAAGGTTTCGTGCTTTGGGGGGCGGGGGCCGGCCCGTGCCGCTAGGCCTGAAATTAGTGTGGCACCTCCTTTAGTGTGGGCCCCCCCCCCACCCTGAACAGTCCAGGCTGGATTTTGCTCTGTTTACACGGCCCCGGGGGTTTATATGATTTTAATAGGGAGGAGTTTAGATAAGTTTAACAGGGGCAGCGATGCCCGGCAATCTTTATTAAAGGCGAGCCACATGGAATTTTCTTACGGCGCCCGGACGATTTGTCTTTAAAGAGGGACTCCCAAACAGTCAGGGTGTCCTGAATAGTTCAGCCAATTTGTCTTTAAAGAGGGGGCCGATACTAAAGCGGGTGCAACATTAGGGTTTTGGGCACGTAGGGTGTGCATGGGTCTTCGACGACATCCCGGGTATGTGCAGACGTGTACCTCTGTTTCGGCTAGCGGCTAGCAGGCTGCGTGAGGTAGAAAGAAACCGTAACACAAATCTGCGGTCGGCTCTAGGAAAAGCAGAAATGCACCTCACGCGACTACTGCCGCCTGTCAGTCTTCTTCCTACCCCTGCCTTTGCTGCCGGTCTGCTTGCTCTTGCCCTTCCCACCGTCGCCCTTGACTGCTTTCCGAACTTGGAGGCCAGAAAGCATTGCAAATGGCCCATGCTTGGAGGTTCATGGTACCTTATGGACCACTTACAAGCCCCCCTAATATGGTTAGAAGTTGGTTAACAAGCACCATGAACCTCCAAGTACCAAGAGCATCACCAGGGCCAGAAATGTGCGGGGGTCTGGGGATGGGCCCCGCCCTAAACCCTAAACCCTAAACCCTAAACCCTAAAACCTAAACGCTAAACTCTAAACCGATAAGGCAAGCCCAAAAAGGCAGGCCAGCCAGCGACGCTCCAGGATGCGGCGCCGGCTGTGGGCGACAGCCCCGTTAGATGAGTGTTGCCCTTTCTGCAATAGACAGGGCTTAGGGCTTAGGGCTTAGGGCTTAGGGCTTAGGGCTTAGGGCTTAGGGCTTAGGGCTTAGGGCTTAGGGCTTAGGGCTTAGGGCTTAGGGCTTAGGGCTTAGGGCTTAGGGCTTAGGGCTTAGGGCTTAGGGGGCTTAGGGCTTAGGGCTTAGGGCTTAGGGGCTTGGGGCTTAGGGCTTAGGGCTTAGGGCTTAGGGCTTAGGGCTTAGGGCTTAGGGCTTAGGGCTTAGGGCTTAGGGCTTAGGGCTTAGGGTTTGGGGCTTAGGGCTTAGGGTTTAGGGTTTAGGGCTTAGGGCTTAGGGTTTAGGGTTTAGGGTTTAGAGTTTAGGGTTTAGGGTTTAGGGTTTAGGGTACAGCCCCGCCGTTAAATAGAGTGTTCCCCTTTCTGCAATAGACAGGGCAGCTTCGGGTTTGGCTTAAGCGCTCAATTGACACGAAAAGGAACCTGAGCGGAACAGAGCTGCGACTTCGGGACGTGCGCTGGGGCTGAATATGGGGGTTTAAGAAAATAAGGGACCCCCCCTCCCCCCTTTAAACAAAAAGGTAGAATACCCGATTAAGATACCCCTAATTCCGAAAACCCCCCATATATGCTCGCCAACAGAGACTGCCGCATTGGCCTGCCCTGCCCTAACCAACCCGAACACGCATGCTTGGCTGCACTTAGCAGGTTAGCTATACATTTAATTTTTAGCTGCCTTGTTAAGAGACCCAATAAACCCAAAAAGGCTAAGCATCTAAAGTTACAGTAAAGCACCACAGAGTAAACCCTTAGACCCTGACCCCGAGAAGAACGCTTCTCAAGCTCCCCTTCATCTTCCCAAGCCCCCGCCGCCTAGGCCCACAGCCCTAAGACTATCAAAAAAACACTTCAGCTCATATGATTTCATTTCAGGGATGGTATAAACCCTAAACACCAAACCCCAAACCCCAAACCCTAAACCCTAAACCCCAAACCCCGAACCCTAAACCCCAAACCCCAAACCCGAAACACCAAACTCCAAACCCTAAACCCCAAACCCTAAACCCTACTAACCCCCAAACCCTAAACCCTACACCCTAAACCCCAAACCCTAAACCCCAAACCCTAAACCCGACAAAACCCGAAACCCCAAACCCTAAACCCTACACCCCAAACCCCAAACCCCAACCCTAAACCCCAAACCCCAAACCCCAAACCCTAAACCCCAAACCCCAAACCCTGAACCCCAAACCCCAAACCCTAAACCCCAAACCCCAAACCCTAAACCCCAAACCCTAAACCCTACTAAACCCTAAACCCTAAATCCTAAACCCTAAACCCCAAACCCTAAACCCTAAACCCCTAAACCCCAACAGTCGGCCTTTGGAACGTTGAGGGCGACCGATCCGTCGCTCTCCAGGTCCTCCACAATCGACAGGCGCGGCCAGAAGGACTCCTCGTAGACGTGCTGCATCACCTGGATCTTCGATTTGCTTAAGAACCCCAAAAAAAGACAAGAAAGCAATAGAATAAAAGTAAAGATGTATATACTTCCTGATAAGGGCAATATAGGGGTTATTGTTATTGTTAGTGTTGGTTTATTTCTTTTCTTTTGGTTGGGGGGGGGGGGGGGTTCTTCTGCAAATAGTAGGGATGTCTGCTGATTTGGGTATTTCCTCAAATAGGGGTACCCTTGATAGTATAATCCTTATTGCAGGAACCATCAAAAGGGCCCCCTTATTTGGGGAAAACCTATGTTTGTGTCTATAGGTATACCTGCAAGAATTAAAGTACGTACAAGTTATGGATCTTTATGCCAAACGAAAGGGCTTTGGAATGAGATCAGAGGTCTGCGGACTAGTTTGTTTTTTTTCGGTGCAGCGCTTGTAAGTTTGAGGCCTGGGAGGATTGGGAATTTGGGAGGGTGTAGGGTTTCGGTATCTTGGGGTTGACCCTACAAGCCCCACAGGGCAAACCCTGCGCACCCAGTCGCGACTGCCAGGGAGCCCACGACAGTCAGGATGCAGAGAAGGGTCCTGCGCCCCAGAATTCCGTGGCGGGACGATTCACTTCAGTGTTTGGAGATAGGTACGTCTACACTGCTATGGCCCTTTCGAACCGACATGCCAGCCTAAAGCATTCTTGTCGTGAAGTTCCCAAAGCCCTCTAAACCCTAAACCTCCCTGAGCAGTTTAGTAGGGTGTCTATCAGGGCTTTGAAGGGAAAACCTAAACCTCAAACCCCAAACACTAAACCCCAAACCCCAAACCCTAAACCCTCAGTCCTCTTGGGAAACCCTAAACCCCAAACCCTAAACCCCAAACCCTAATCCCTAAACCCTAAACCCCAAACCCTAAACCCTGAGTCCTCTTGATCCTGCCCGCGCGCGGGCGGGCGACGTGAGGAACCTTCTCAGCAAGCCTAGGGAGGGCTCGGGAGTCCCAGCCCTGCGGCACGTAGCTCGGGAACTGCTCGAGGAAGCCTTGCACCTGCCGGGTTTAGGGTTCAGGGTTTAGGGTTTAGGGTTTAGGGTCTAGGGTTTAGGGCGTAGGGTTTAGGGTTTGGGGTTTAGGGTTTAGGGTTTAGGGTTTAGGGCCTGGGGTTTGGGGCTTGGGGCTTGCCTAGGCACCATTTACCTACGATTTTCTGGGGGTTGTGCCCTGTTTTTTTGGGGTTGTAACCTACTTTGTGAGTCACAGGTAGGGTTTAGGGGTTTCAGGCTTTAGGTTCAGGAGGGGTTTAGGGCTCTTGGGGGGGGGGGGGGGGGGGGGTTCTGCCCTAAACCCTAAACCCTAAACCCGAAACCCTAAACCCTAAACCCTAAACCTTAAGCAGCGCAGCCCGGCCTCCCTTCGGATTCCCCAGTTGGTGTACACAGTCCGCTGCTGTAGCGCAGTGTTGGTCAAAGGGTCACGGGGAGGTTTGCAGGACTCCCAGTATTGCTCCAGCGCGTGGCGCTCGTAGGTGTTGCCACTCTCCGGCACGAATACTGGATCCTGGTACCTGGGATTGGACTTTGGCTTTAGGGCTTATGGGGTTTAAGTAGGATTGCGCGAAACCTTCATGTGCTATCTAGAACCTAGCTCCTTTGAACCCTACGGGGTTCCTTGTATTCTGACCCAGGCGCATGGTTTGGGTGATCGGGCAAATCAGCACCGACGGTTCAACGATCCCAGGCTTGGACGGCCAAGCATTCTCCGCAGCGGGGTCTCGCCCCTCCTCTCGAACATCACTCCCCATGGCGAGACAGCTCGAGGGGGGCCACTGTTCAATATGAAGCTGAACGCTAAACAGGCTTGGGGTCTCGTGATCATGGCCATAGCCCCAAACCCTACACATTACCAGGTTGCAGCCATTTACAGCCCACCAGCTGCATATAAATAATCTGAGACAGAAGAGGAGCCATGAGGCATCGGATCTGGCCTAGGCTATGTGGGTCACGTACTTGCATATCTTGATTCTCGTCTTATGCTCGTTATTCTTGTGGAGCCACAGCTCGCGCATTCTCTGCTGAAGCACGCCACACAAAAGTCAGAGTCATAGTCGCACACAGCCTGAAACCTCCTAGAACACTAAGGTCACAACCCTACATTCCGCTTCCACACGTACCTCCATCAAGGGAGGCCATATTCCACACACCTCAGCGATAAACCACTGTGGAATACAAACCCCACAACCCCAAAGCCAAACCCGGCGCCCGCTGTGCGAAGCTAACGTGTGATATAGGGGCCTGGTTGATAGTTAGAATAGGGTTCGGGGGTTATTACGGAGTAATTATAAAGGGACCTTAAAGGAATACTATTCATAATGATTCCGACCCCTATAGTGCCCCGCAAGCGCGCGGCGCGCAGCACGTTCACCTCCTGCTCCATGGTGCGGTAGGCCTGCGTGTCCTGTGTTCAGGGTTTCGGGCTTCGGGTTTAGGGTTTAGGGTTTAGGGTTTAGGGGGGTTTAAGGCTTCGGGCTTCTTAGTTTGCATGGAAAACCAGGGGGGAACCGAAACACTTTCTGCTACCCCTAAACCCTAAACCCTCCTAAACCCTAAACCCTAAACCCTAAACCCTAAACACTGTTGCGATTTATGGTTTAGAGTTCTGTGTAGAGGCCTTGTCCTGCTCGTCTCCTGCAGCCGCACAGTCGGGCTGCAGATCCCCGTAAACTAAACCCTAAACCCTAGACCCTAAACCCTAAACCTTAAACCCTAAACCCTTTAAAATCCTAAACCCTAAACCCTTTTTCTGGGTTGAGGGTTGGGAGGAACCCATGCCACCTTGACGTTCGCTGCCTCTTCCGTCTCGATGCAAATCCTGAAACAAGGGGCACTTTAGGGCTTTAAGGGCTTAAAGGCTTCCGGGTTTAGGGGTTAAGGTTTCAAGATCTTGGGGCTTCAGGGGCTTGAAATGTTACTGCTTCAGGGCTCTAAAGTGCAGCATTCCCTTCACTATGGCACGATGCACCCGAATCAATGCGCAGTTTGCGAAGGATCCCCAACAAAAGAACTCATGCAAGCAACCCCACAGAGCCTCGAAGCTCAACAACCACCCCCAAGAAAATCCCCAAAAAATCCCCAAAGAAACCCTAGACTCTGAGCCCTAAGCCCGACACCTAACCTGGAACTCTGAACCTTATAGACCCTGAGCCCCAAAACCCTAAAACCCTAAAACCCTGAAACCCTAAACCCTAAACCCTAAACCCTAAACCCTAAACCCTAAAACCCTAAACCCTAAACCCTAAACCCCAAACCCCAAAACCTTCAACCCTGAACCCTGGACCCTGGTCGACGCCGCCAAGCGACTCCATGACCTTCACTGCGTAGGAGGCCTCGCTTTGAGGGCCCATCGGATTTAGGGTTTAGGGTTTAGGGTTTAGGGTTTAGGGTTTGGGGTTTAGGGTTTAGGGTTTAGGGTTTAGGGTTCAGGGTTGAGGGTTTAGGGTTTAGGGTTTAGGGTTTAGGCTTCAGGGTTCGGGTTCCTTCTGACTCTCACTGTGACGCCTGAGAAGCATAACAGTAGCATCACAGGTCATGCTGGTGCCTTGTGGCACTGACGTTTGTCGCCACGTTGGTGCGTCTTCTTCACTGACAGGTCCGCGGGCCGTCATGAGATTGTCCCCGGCAAGTTTAACAGTTTAGGGAACCTCCAAGTAGTATCTAACGGATCCAACGTCACGTGGTTGACGTGGCGAGCTCACTCATACAGTTGCCGTATACACCAAAGTATATATACTGTCTCATGGAATCACGTGTCGTGCTGCTCTACCATCTGTGCTCCGCCCCCGCGACGTGGCAAAAGACGAAGGCCAGTGCCTGAAGCACGCGACGAGGGTGGCAAGACACAGGCACGCAGCGCATGGGGACTTTCGCTGTTCGCCTCCCTGAAACAGGGAGCCGAAGACTGGGCTGGCAGCTCCAGAACTCTTTGCCGGGAACGGGCGGGGCGCTGACAATCCGTCAATGGTTTGGGAGGGCGGCAATGCCAGAATACCAGCATCAATGTTGGAATAGAGCCTGGTAAGCACCTTCTGCGCTCCCGTCCGAAGTGAGCGCCCGACACAGCTGCGACAGACATGTCCCAGCCACCAACTCTTGGAACTTGCGGCTCACCAAGTCCTCATGGGGGATTCCGAAATTAGTGGTACCTAATTGCAGTCCTTCTTATAAGGGGATCCTACTCTTTGGGGATCCCCTGTTCTCGGAAACCCCCGCAGAGGAAGCGCAGAAGGCTTCCATGCCGCGATGCTCGACAAACAAGCAAGTCCCGCGCTGAACTGGAAAACCCGACATCCACGCATCACCCAAGCTTCCGTCGACGGATTTTCACAGCTGCACCACGGCAATGCCCTTGAAGCTTGCACCACAATGCAAGATCAGTTGCGTGACGCGCCACAAGAAAGACGCGGAGAAGGCAATCTAGTTGGTCACACGGAAGAAGCCAGGTTGCGAAGGCAAAGGTGTGTCTCCCTGGTTCAGCACCAGGGACCCCCCCGCCCCCCAAGTAAGAAGCCCGGCGAGCCGCCATCCCCCTCAGCGCTGCCAAGTTCCTGATTCCGCTCCTTCCCGCGCAAAATCTTACGCCTTTAACTGCCGGTCTGTACGGTTGGAAAGGGCCGGCGTTGATGTCTCTAGCCTCGCAACCCTGAACTCTAGCTGCACCCTCGACCCTCAACCCTAAACCCTGAAAGATATGTCCTAAACCCTAAACCCCAAACCCTAAACCCTAAACCCTAAACCCTAAACCCTAAACCCTAAACCCTAAACCCTAAACCCTAAAAACCTAAACCCTAGGGAACTTCAGAGGCCCTAATCTTCGTAGGGCAGCTACATGGTCCCCCAGTGCGGGCCCTTGAAAGGGGAACCCTCACACACCCTAAACCCTAAACCCTAAACCCTAAACCCTAAACCCTAAACCCTAAACCCTAAACCCTAAACCCTAAACCCTAAACCCTAACCCTGAACCCCGAACCCTTATATACCTGATACAACCCAAGGGCCCAAACTTCAGAGGCCTTCAAAGGAGGTAAGGCACCATATCAAGGGCCCATAGAACTACCCTTATAAAACTCCAAAGGCTCAATCCCTAGAAGCCCTCCTGAACGCCCTAAGAATCGTAGTTTGGGGCTTAGGGTTCAGGGTTCAGGGTTTAGGGTTTAGGATTTAGAGTTTAGACTTTAGGGTTGAGGGTTGAGGGTTGAGGGTTTTGGGGTTTTGGGGTTTTGGGGTTTTGGGAACTTTGGCGCGTAGCCTCGGAGGTCTAACCCCGAGTCCCCAAAGCCCCGAAACCCAAACTCAGCAAACATCGGGATCCTCCCGCAGGGCCCCCGACACCGGTCGAGGGCAGCACGGCACGGTGTACCTGCCATGCCGTTTAGGGTCTGGGTTTGGGGACATAAGGTTTAGGGTTTTAGGGTTTTAGGGTTTTGGGGTTTTAGGGTTTTAGGGTTTTAGGGCTTTAGGGTTTTAGGGTTTTAGGGTTTTAGGGCTTTTGGGTTTTAGGGCTTTAGGGCTTTCGGGTTTTCGGGTTTTCGGGTTTTCGGGTTTTCGGGTTTTCGGGTTTTCGGGTTTTCGGGCTTTGGGGCTTTAGGGTTTGAGGGTTTGAGGGTTTTAGGGTTTTAGGGTTCTAGGGTTCTAGGGTTCTAGGGTTCTAGGGTTTTAGGGTTTTAGGGGTTTAGGGGTTTAGGGGTTTGGGGGCTCAGGGCTTGGGGCTAGGGCTAGGTGGTAAGGATTTGGGCAAGCCCAGCATGAGTTCCGCCGCAAAGTAGGCACATTTCTCTGCGATCTTGCCGAAGCCACATGTAGCCACTATATACTTGCACAGTCTGAACTAACGTTGCCTGTGCCTGCCATGGAAGAAGCCCGAACACGGCCGTACTACAGCCAAGATGTTGGGCACGGCTCCAAAACTCACCCTTGGCTCATGTGCGGCGAAGACCTGCGAGCAAGGGATCACCGGCTGCGCGATCGTCGATCATACCGAGCAAGACATCCCTCGTTCCTTGGGGCAACGACAGCTGCTCCGTCGCATCGCGTTCACGTGCGTAGGAGAGCCCCCTCAAACAAGCCACTTGGTTGGCAAAGGCAGGGTCTTGCAGAACTCGCAGCTCTCTCTCCTGATCATTGAGCTTCTTGAACTCCGCCACCAGGACAGGGAAATCTGGGCCTTGCCGATATGTGCCAACTTCTGCTCGGTAGACAGCGCCTGCCACCATGACGAGTTGGCACCTGTTACCTGCGACTCCGACACCTGCCTTTCCGCCCGAAAGAATTCCGCGATCAGGGCCATCTGCTCCCCCTCTGTGTAAGCATTCCAATCGGAAGCTGTCTTGCCACAACGCGGCAGCCAGCAGCTCAGGAAGTCGATCCGTTCAGTAGAGCTGAGGCCATTCCTTGTTCATGCTTGGGATAATATGAACGTTTCTAAATGTCTATTCCTAATTGAGATTAAGTACCCTTAAAATGCTACTCCACGATGACAAAAACTCCATCTTGCCGTACAGTCAACGACGAACTCCAGGCTTCGCGGCTGCATTGTGGAGGATTTGGGAGGGAGCCAAGCAGTCCAAGTCTTTTGCTGTCGATTCTCCCTGCGCTTGAGCCCAAATTGTCTGCCCAGACTGAATTGTGCTCCATTTCATTCAGGCACGTAGTCGTCGGAGTAGTAGGAGTACTAGTACTGGTACGACTACTACCACCACCACCACCACCACCACCACCACCATGGCTACGTGTCTTCTTTCTACTTCATCTATCAACGTGCGGCATGGCTCTCACATCGTGAGCTGGCCGCTCCTTGTCTATCGTGGATGCGGTGTCCTTGCTAGTATGAGGTGCCCCATTTCCCTTCAGAAGCCGCGGAGGATGGCTTCAAAACAGAAGGACGTGCATCTCCCAACCTTCTCTGAAAGTCTGAAAGGCTAATGCCTCCATAAAAAAGGGTAAAGGGTACCACGGGGCTACCCAGCCGCCCTAAACCCTAAACCCTAGAACCCTATATAGGGCCGATAGTTCCCTCATTCCCTACGAACCGGGGGGTCGTAAACACCGTGCCCTTCCGAGCCTTTCCGTAGGCTCCTTCGCCGATCTGCTTCCCAAATCGGAGGCTCCTCCCAGATTTCAGGGTTTAGGGGTTTAGGGTTTTGGGGTTAGGGATTAGGACTTAGGGTTCAGGGTTCAGGGTTTAGGGTTTAGGCTTTAGGGTTTAGGGGGGTTTAGGGTTTAGGGTTTAGGGTTTAGGGTCTAGGGTTTAGGGTTTAGGGTTTAGGCTTTAGGCTTTAGGCTTTAGGCTTTAGGCTTTAGGCTTTAGGCGTTAGGCTCTAGGGATTAGGGTTTAGGGTTTAGGGTTTAGGGTTTAGGGTTGGGCTTTGAACCTTAACAGCATCAACCAGCCATACAACCCTCCAGCCTAAAGCCTTGAAGCCCTAAACCCCAAAAGGCTCAAAGCTCCTGAGACAAACAAAGAAGGTGAACCCCAACAGACGCACAGCCTGAACCCCTGCGAAGCAGGGGATTCTGAGCTTGCCGTGTGGGTTTGGGGGTTGGGTTCAGGGTTTGGGGGTGCAGCTAGGGTCTTGGGTTTAAGGTTTGGAGTTTAGGGATTCCCATCCCCTGTTGCGGTTCAGGGCTTGTGGTAATCAATCCCGCTAGCAGAATAGCCATGATCACGTCAAGTCTGCGGAAGCCAAGCCTTAAAAAACAAAAACAAACAGAACCCTACCGTAGCTTTGGCCCTGTGCCGAAATTTGTAGTCGCCTGCAAGACTCAAGTCCTCCCTAGTACTTCAATCACTTTTGCAACATGGGCCCGAACCGACACATGAGACATGTCGTCAGGCTCCTAACATCTTCCGCACTCAAGGGCCAGTCGCCCAACATGGCACGCAACCCGTGTGTGTATTGGAGGACTTGGGGGGGGTTTAGGGTCTGGGGCTTTAAGGTGCGCAGTTCAGGGGGGGTTTGAGTCTGGCTCAGAGTGGTTTCGGTGGCTAGGAAGGCAAATGCCGGTAACTTGGGCCGAAAGGTACGCAGAGGCGATGTCGACGAAGGCTCTGCCCTGGATACCAAGCCCAAATGCCAGATGCCCTGAAGCGTTTGGGGGCCAAGTTCTCTGATTCAGAGGGTTTAGCAAAACCCTAAAGCCTGAACCCTAACCCTAAACCCTGAACCCTAAACCCTAAACCCTAAACCTTATCATTCATGGTGTCATGGTGTTGCGAGGATGAATACTAGGATTACTGCTGGGCCCTGGCCCTTCCCGGGTGCCTTCACTGCGGTCTCCTTTTGCCCCCGCGCTGGCAGTTGCAAAAGCCCGCGCTGTCGCAGGCTCTCAAGATAAGTGAGCCAGGGAAGCATCCACAGTGGGGTTTCGTGGGTTTCGTTGGGTTCAGCAGAGGTTCAGAGGCCTTGGGTTGAGAAGACGCTTCACCCTCAGCCCTGTGTCGAAAGCCTGCTGAACGAGAGGCTCACGAGGTTGATGAAGAAGCCCTCCATCTAGGGTGCTGGGTCGTGGGGGGCGCATAACACCCTGGGTCCCTGACAAGGGGCCTTAACTGCACCTTTCAGAAACAAACATGCAACTTGACTATGGGGATATCCCGTTTTGAAGATATCCCAACAGCGGCTCTCAGCAGTTTTCGGGCTTCCCCTGAACCCCTTAAACAAACTAGACCCCAGCATAACCGAGGAACAAAAGGGTATGTTTGTTTGGCTTCAAGGGGCTTATAAGGGAATGGAAACCTACAAAAAGGAGAAAAAAAGGGGGCCTACTCCGGGTCGTAGTGATATAAACCCCCCACGTTTGGGATCTTCGAACTGAAGAGGCTTCCCAGGCATGCGCGGGTAGGGGGAGGTCGGCATCCTGTGCAGAAGGAGCTCCATCTGCGCTTCCTTCCTCTGATGCGGTTTTGGGTTTGGGGGTTTAGGGTTTAGGGTTTAGGGTTTAGGGTTTAGGGTTTAGGGTTTAGGGTTTAGGGTTTAGGGTTTAGGGTTTAGGGTTTAGGGTTTTAGGGTTTAGGGTTTAGGGTTTAGGGTTCAGGGTCTGGGGGTTTAGGGTTTAGGGGTTAAGGGTGAGGGGTTAGGAAAGTTCAGGACTTGGGGTGGGGGAGCTACTCGGCTGGACCGTGGAACCACAAAACAGTCCAAGAAGAGTCTGGCTTCAGGGGCCGTGCTACGCAGATGGCTGCCAGGGCACGCGGCCCCGCCGAAACGAACTGCAATAAGATGACACCGCAACAATAAAAGACGATAATAAAAAGTAGAATTGCACATAAAAAAGACACCCGACAAATACTCAAACAATAATAGGCTAACAAAACAAAAAACGGACACAATATCTGTGTGTTAAGACTGTTAAGTGTGCAAGGGCGCTTTTGGGCTCCAAAGGGTGCTGGGCCCTAGGGGATTTCGGACGGGGGCTTAGGGCTTTAGGGTTTAGGGCTTTTAGGGTTTGCAGTTTAGGGTCTGACAATGAGATTTAGGATTTAGGGCTTAGGGTTTAAGGTTTAGGGATTAAGGCTTTCAGGGTTTAGGGCTTAGGACTTAGGGGGTTTAGGGCTTTAGGGCTTTTACGCAGGACGCCGTCTCCACATCCAAAGGCACAGGATTTGATCGGCTTGATCATGCAAACGAAGGTTTCACCTGTAGGGGCACAGGCTTTGGGCTGGTATCATGCCCGCAAATACAATGTTGATGATGATAAGCGTAAAGAGTACAACGATTAATACTGACTAATAATCGGTACTAACAATAATTCATACTAACTGTGGTCATCATAGTACTGATGATGGCGACGATGATGATGGTGATGATGATGATGATGATGACGATGACGATGACGATGACGATGACGATGATGATGATGATGATGATGATTTGATAGCTGACCGGTGGTGATGATGTTGACGATGATAATGACCATGACAATGATATTAAGGATTGTTTGGTTTCCTCCCCCCCCCCCCCCCCCTAAACAAAATCGAAGAGTCAGATGCTCAGGGCGGGTCCATCTTCTCGGGGTTTGGGGTATGTAAGCCGACTCCGGGATCAAACCTTGTGAATTAGGCCGCGAGTGGCTCGGAAAAGGCCAGGGGGACCGCAGGCAATGGAGAAAGGAAAAGCTCAGCCTTCTACCCCCAAACCACCCTAAACCCTAAACCCTAAACCCTAAACCCGACTTAAGGCCTATAACCAGAGCCCTGCGGCCCCTGGGCCAGGGCATGCATTGAGTGCCCGCCGCTTTGCGGTGGGTGCTCCCTCGCCCTACTTTCTAAGGGTTTAGGGTTTGGGGTTTAGGGTTTAGTCAGGTGTTCAGCGATTTTGGGTCGTCAACGAACTGACGCGTGTCCTCAAAAGTCTTGGTGCTCAAACCTGCACAGGAGGATCGCCGAAGAAGGATTCCCACCCAGTACATAGGGTGTAGGGTTTAGGGTCAAAAGGGTTTAGGGTTTAGGGTTTTCAGCCCGAACAAAATGGATATCAAAAACGAAACGTTTGAAACCCTCTAAACGCCCTGAACACCCCCAACATCCCCAACAATCCACCCAAGCCACCCCAAGCCCGCCATGAGAGACCCTCGGAACGCTAACCCTCCACGGCGACGGCTTAGCAACCCAAAGTGAGGGCTCTACCAAAAACCAAACTCGATGTCAAGCCTGTGAAACTTCCTGACTCCTCAACCTTCATTGAGAATGAGAGCTTAGGGCCTTTCCTCTGCCGGGGGATTCGGGCCTCCCCCTTAGACAAGAATTGCTTCAAAAATGGGGCTTCGGGCTTTGGGCCCGCCCTAAAAACCCCAAACCCGAAACCCTAAACCCTAAGCCCCAAGCCCTGAAGCCCTGAAGCCTCGGCCCTTTAGGGCGAAGACAAGGCGAGCCCTAAACCCGAAGTCCCCAAAACCCGGACTCAAAACCCGGAGTCCCCAACCCCCCCCCCCCCCCCCAAAAAAAAAAAAAAAAGAAGAAGGCCTCGACGAGCTCCACATATCGACCCTCCATGGCCGTGCAGCGGGTGGGTTGCCGGCCCTGGGCGAGGAGGGGAGTCGCAGGACCGAAGCCTTGAAGGGTGAGCTAAGGTTTGGGGTTTGGGGGGTTTTGGGGGTTTTGGGGGGTTTGGTGGGGGTTTGGGGGATTTGGGGGGTTTTGGGGGTTTGGGGGATTTGGGGGGTTTTGGGGGTTTGGGGGATTTGGGGGGTTTTGGGGGTTTGGGGGGTCTGGGGGTTTTGGGGGTTTGGGGGTTTGGGGGTTTGGGGGTTGGGGGTGCGGGGTTTGGGGGTTTGGGGGTTCGGGGTGCGGGCCTTGGCCCCGCCCACAGAACCCCAACGCCAGGAAAGCGCCCCTCCCCATCGTACATTCCGAAGCTCACATCTGGAAGCGGCGAACCTTGACGAAGGCCGCCAGCATCACCAGTAGCACCAGGGCAGTTGCCTCTTCGGCTTTTGGGGGGGAGGGGGGGGAGGTATCTCCGCATGCTGTACAGCTCAGGGCCTACAGAGTTTACCTGGGGGGAGGGGCGGGGGGGTTTGAAGGCTGAGGGGTTTAAGGCTTTGAAGTACCCTAGACCCTGAATCCTAAACCCTAAACCCTCAACCCTAAACCGGCACCCCAGACCCGGAATGCCCCCAAAATGGCCCTCAATCCTAAAACCCTGTGTCCCACTTCTGTTCAAAATTCATGTGAATGGTGTTCATCATGATACCGATGTTCGTAATGTGAACGATGCTCATGCTGTTACTAGTGCTATATTGCTAGGAATGTTTATGATGTTAAGAATGTCAGGAAGATACGAGCGTTAAGATTCTTACACTCACTAAGAATGTTAAGCTTGTTCATGCAGGAACTGCTTTTGCTCATGATGTTAAGCATGTCAACCATGTCAGTCATGCCACTCATGTTAATAATGCCGATGATGTGGACAACGAGAATAGTTCATGGTGTTCATGTATATAATCCAAAAATCTCACAATGTCAATGTCAAGAATGTCAATCGTGTCAATCATGTCAATAATGTTAAAAACTAAAGAACGTCAAGAATGTCAAGAATGAGAATGTCAAAGAATGCCAGTAATGTAATAATGTCAATAGGGTCAGGAATGTCAATAACGTCAATGATGTCAACCGTGCCCATAAAATCACAATGCTCATCGCCATGAGAGTATGAGGAATAACATTCTAGAAACACCAAGTGCGTTGAAAGTACGCGTGAAGAGACATGAATATGCTTCTCGCACGCAGCTCGAGTCCAGACTTCCCAGAAGCCCTAGCTAGACCCCACTTCTTCCCAAAGCCTCTTTCTCATCCCGAAGACCCAAACTGTCCAGCCCTAAACCGCAAAACCTTCAAAACCCCCCCCCCCCCCCCAATCCGCCGAAGCCTCTCAACCCCAGCCTAAGCCGCAAAACCTGATAAACCCGAAACCCATACAACCCGCAACAAAACGTGAAAGCCCTTGACCCTTGAAGCCCCTTTCAAGCCTTGGAAGCCCCGAAAACATGCTTGACGACCGCGGGTGCGTGTTGCGTCATCAGGAACTTCAAGCCTTTGATTTAGGGCTAAGGGCTTAGGGTTTCGGGCCGAGGGTTTCGGGCTTCGGGCCTAGGGTTTCGGGTGTAGGGTTTGGGAATGAAGAAACCTCCAACAGCCTTCATGAAACTGCGCGCGCGCCCCTAACGCGAAAAGCCTAATCAAAAAAACCACCGAAATTCCCGAAAGCCCTACTCAACCCCAAGCCTAAACCCTAAACCCCCTAAACCCTCGAAACCCGAACCCAAAACCCGAAACCCTAGTACGAAATTGAGCTGCGCCTCGGCTAAACGCCAAGCCGTGGTGGGGATGCTCGTGCTCTGGAGCCTTGGAGGGCCAAATCTAGGTTGGGGTTTAGGATTTGGGGTTTAGGGTTGAGGGTTGAGGGTTTAGGGTTTAGGGTTGAGGGTTTAGGGCTTAGGGCTTAGGGCGTAGGGAAAAGTATGGGCCCTGCATTTGGGTCAGCCCCCTTGTTCTACAACCCTTGTACAGACTATACATAATAAGTGCCCACACTTCGGGTCCCTATAAACAAGCAGAAGGACCATACCAAGGGCCCATGGTTAACCTTGGCTTAGGGTTTAGGGTTTAGGGTTTAGGGTTTAGGGTTTAGGGTTTAGGGTTTAGGCTTTAGGGTTTAGGGTTTAGGGTTTAGGATTTAGGGTTTCGGGTTTAGGATTTTAAGGGTTTAGGGGGCCAGGGTTTTAGGGTGTAGGATTTAGGCTCAGGGTTTAGGGTTGCGGTTTAGGCTTTGGGCGTTTTCCGACCGTATCCCCTATACACCTTTCAGGGATCCTAGAATTAAGACGAGAGCTAAACACCGAAAACCTCGACGAGGGCTCGGAATTTAGGGCGGAATAACAGCTCATGAAGTGCAGCGTTTGGGAGCTTACGGTTTTAAGAGCAAGATTACGCCAAACGGAAACTCCAGGCCCCTAAACTTAGACTCTAAACTTTAAACCCTAAACCCTAAACCCAGACCTAAACCCTAAACCCATAGACCCAAAGGCCTACGCAGCTCTGGTCCCGCCCCCCCCCCCCTCGCCCATTTTCAACCTCTTGCGAGTTCCATGTGCCCCTCTCCGCTCACTTGTCCTCCTGGGCACGCCAACGCCAGGCTGACGTCTAAACCCTGCACCCTAAACCTCCAGGCTCTACAGTAGGACTCAAGCCCCGAAAGTCTAGTGAGCCCTTTCCTGAGCTCTTTGAGGTTGGTTTGAGCGTTCGGGTTGAGGGTTTTGGGCTTGGGGTTGGTTGCTGGTATCGAGCAAGGTAACAAGCCCTCTACGCTGCACCCAACGCCTAAAACCCAAACTCTTGCACATCTCAGTGAAGGGCTTAGGGGAGCGGCTTAGGGTTTACCACGTGGGCCCAAGGGCTCCAGGGGTTGGGGATTGCATCGCTGGGCCTAATCCCTAATCCGCAAACCCTAAACCCTAAACCCTAAAGTAGATCCGCAAGCCCCCAACAACTCGGCTTCAAATCCCAGACCACCCCGTTCCTTCTTGATCAGGTAGGTGAGGTGGCACTTGCCGCAGTAGTAGCGGTTGAAGTGCATGGCCTGTCCCATAATCCACCAAAAACGGCGCAAGAAAGCACTAGACACCGAAACCTACGCAGCACTAGACCCGAGAGGAACCGAGGAATGAAAAGCCTGCCTTTTGTGGTTTAAAGGTGCTTATAAGGGAACCCAAATCGTACATAAAGCGAATACGGGCCTACACTTGGTCCTAGAGAAACCAAGCCCTACAGCCCTGCACACCAGGAGTCCCGCTGAGGAAGAGCATCATGCTAAACTCCAAAGCCACAACGCTAAACCCTAAACCCTAAACCCTAAGCCCTAAGCCCTAAGCCCCAAATAGCAACAGGCCAACTCAGAGTCGACCCTACTGATCATGAAAGGGCAACATCTTCACAAAAATGGGGGGGTACGCCCTTTTACCTCAAATAGGATAGAATCCCCTTTAACGGGACCCCCAGAAACGGTAGCCTTATTTTCGGAAACCCCCATATGAGGGGATCACAAGTGCAAGCACACGTTTCAGGATGGGATGGCCTACCCAGCTCCCTAAACCCGGAACCTGTCGTTCAGAGTTGTTGAGGATTCAGGGTTCAGGGTTTAGGGTTTAGGGTTCAGGGTTCGTGGCCGTCACGCCCATGTTTCTGGATCCGGGTACCACCCCTCCCACTTCACCACATGGCCAGGTCTCTCTTCGAGTCGGTCCCCTTTGTTGGGCCTCCTGTCAAAATGTAGCCTCTCATACCTCCTTCCAGAGTTTGGGGTTTGGGGTTTGGGGTTTCGGGTTTAGGGTTCAGGGTTTAGGCTTAGGGGACCTGACACCACCCACCCACACACACACACACCTTTCAGCCGAAGCGGCCATGAAGACGCCAGGGCCGCAGGTCTCGTGTGGGCACTCGCGACGCAAGCGCGTGACCTTGTCGTTGGAGTCCACCTCTGCCCAAGAGCGAGGGCTTTTGAAGGCAAGTGCAGGGGGCCCATCTAATCAGAATGGGTCCTTGGCGCGGTTGATGTTGTACTGCGGCCGATAAAGGGGGAGAAGACGGGGGTTTCCGAAAATTGGGGTACCTTCTTGGGGTTCCTTGGAAAACTGTAGGGTTCTGAGAGGCTTTGGGCTCTACCCTGAAACCCCGCAACAAGGGGTTTAGGGTTTAGGGTTTACAGTAGGTCTTTGAGCTCTGACCCCCACACCCACCCCCCCCCACGGGATGACAAGGTGGGTGTTGAGAACCCGCACTGCAATGCTGAAACCCTGAAACCCCAAGCCTTGTAGAACTTGAGGACTGCGAGCTTGACTTTCTTGCGCTTGTGCTTGATCCTCGGTGGACCACTGGTATGTGCGCTGCGGGAGTGGCGAGACATCCGGGCGAGACATCCGAGATTTTTAGAGTTCAAGTTCAGCGTCCCTAGGGCTGCAGCAAGCGGAGGGAGGGGTCCACAGACTATGTATGAACCTTCTGGCGAGGCTCTGAATCCCAAGAAGTAAACTAAAACCCAAACCTCAAGAACCTGCAGCTTGAGGGTCCCCCCCCGCCGTCCCCAATGCCTAAACCCTAACCCCTGCAGCACACGAAAGCCTCCACCACTAGAAGCACAAACCTCTCAGGCTGGGTGGGAGAATATGGGAACCCGTAAGAACCCTCACAAAGGTGCAACTGAGGGGATACAATATTTAGGCACAGACTCACCCAGTAGTAAGGCGGACCCACATTGCCGCCCCTGCGTCTTGACCCCCCCTAAACCCTAAACCCTAAACCCTAAACCTGAACCCTAAACCCTAAGCCCTAAAGAACTTGAAGCTCAAGTCGCTTCTTGGGCTTGGTGTAGGTCTTCTTCTTGCGCTTCTTGCCGCCGCCCTGCCTCAGAAGCTGAGACTGCTGCTTCTTTGGTGGGGTGAAAGGGGCTTAGGGTTTAGGGTTTAGGGTTTAGGGTTTAGGGTTTAGGGTTTAGGGTTTAGGGTTTAGGGTTTAGGGTTTAGGGCTTAGGGTTTAGGGTTTAGGGTTTAGGGTTTAGGGTTTAGGGTTTAAGGTTTAAGGGTTTGGGTTTAGGGTTTCTTTGGGGGGCTTTTGGGGCCTTAGGTTGCTTTGAGGGGTCTCAGGAACCCTACACCCGAAACCCTACACCCTGAACCCCCCAAGATCCAAACCCGGGTGCCCTTCAACCCAACCCTCGACCCCCCTAATTCCGACTAAGGTTTCTCAGGGCCCCAAACCCTCACCCGCCCTCCTGAATCCCCCAAGCCCCGGCCCCGACATGCCCCGAAAATCGCAAACCGCTCTAAACTCCCAACCCTGAATCCTCTCTACACCTCCCCTAAACCCCCCCTTAGCTCCCTTAACCCCCCCCTTAGACCCCACAAAAGCCCCAGAATGCCCCAGCAGGACCGCCTTCAACCCCTTGGACCCCTGAACCGCCCCAGTGGCAGCTCCAAGGAGACGAAGAGGGTGGCCTCGTCCTGGTTAGGGGATGTTTGGGGATCTTGCGGGCTTTTGCATATCTTATCGCTCTTCGGGGGATCTTCGGGGTCTTAGGGAATCTTAGAAAATCTTGGGGATCTTAGGGATCTCAGGGCTTAGGGCTTGGGATCTTAGGGCTCAGGGGGACGGGCGTTTGATTCGTGAGTTCTGAGGGCTTGGAGCGCTTGGGGCTCAGGGTTGAGGACTGCGGGCTTTGGGGTGAGTTAGTTGCTCCAAGCCCCTAAACCGAGGTTAAGCTGCAAAGCGAATGAGGCCGTAAAGGCCCCAACACTACAAGCCCTACCCTGCCAAACGCCTACTTGTTCAAGGCTGGCTGTCTTCAGGTAAGAATAACTGCAGTTCGCACCCCTACATTTTACCCATAACCCTTGCCCCTGAACCCCAAAGAAACCTACATCCTGCGCAGCAAAAAGCCCCAAACCGGAAGCCCCCGAACCTGGATGTCGCAGTCTGCGAGGCGCGCTGCCGAGTCAAGAATGGTTCCTTGAGGGTACCCAGCGGATGGATGGGGGGGGTCAGAGCTTGGGTACATGAGCAGAAAAGGAACCATAAGAATAAGAAACATGATCATATGGTCAGTTCTCTAATTATGGTCCCTTTTGGGATTCCCTAAATACGAGCAGCCGCCTTTTCATGAGGGACGCAAAAGGGACCATACTTTAGAGAAGCGACCATACACTGCCAGGCTTCACCGTTGCTGCTGTCATGGTCGTCGTCGCCATCATCGTATCGTCATCGTCATAGGCGTCGGCATCCACGTCGTCATCGTCATCGTCGTCATCGCCGTCACCAACGTCATCATTTTCATCGTCGTCGTCGCCGCAGCTTAACGCAGGAGAAGGAGTAGCAGTCATCGTCGCAGTGACGGCGTTCAACATAGCAAGTCTTCGGATGGCGGACCACGACCACGGAACGTACTTCTTCGACGGCGAGGACAACTACCACGACCTTCACAACAACAAACAAAGGGAACCAAGGGAAGCATTGGTAACAACAAACTTGGGGTTTTTTTGGGTTTTGCAACTGCCCGGACCGTTTCTGCACTCCTCACTTGCGGATCCTCAATGATGGCCGAAACCGTGGTGGTGGGGGGGGTGCACCGGCCTGAAACCAGTGCCCCGAACTCTCGCACCGGTTGAGGACTTAGGGACCAAAACACAACTTGAAGCTCTGAAGGTTTCCAAAAGCCGTCCCCTACTCCCTGCAAAAACCAACCCTACCCGAAACACCCGAAACCCCAAGGCCAGGACCGCCATAGCTCAAAATCTGCTCCTCACGCGAGGTAGGCTGGAGGGTCCCGGCTGGCTTCGGGAAAAAGCTGAGAATCCAAGAAGCCGCCCCAAACCCGACAATCCTTCTCAACCCCCAACTACCGCGCGGACAGATCGAAGAGGTGTTTCAGTCAATTGCAAGCTTGACCTAGTTGCTGAGTAGCCTGGCCCAAAAAGGGTTAACCTTTTCATTCTGGTAGGATTGTAAATAGTTCCAAAAAGTTCTCAGCTACTAAGTTCAAAACTTTCGCATTCAAGAAGTCAACGCTGCAGGGCTTTGCATCCAGGGTGTCGTACAGGAGGAGCTTCAGAGGCCGAAACCAAACTGACAGACCCCCCTCTTCACCCGACCCGACTCTCGCTCGCAGGTGGGCAGGGTCCTCCGCCGGAACGCCCGAGAGGGAAGCAATCCTTGTCTGCTTCACTCTTTTTGAACGATTCACCACAGCCAACCCTCCAAACTACCCGCAAGCGCCGATGGCATGTATCGCTTTCTGCTGAAATGTGCTTGCGCTTTGGGGTGTGGCGCGCTTCTCGGCCTTCCCCCAAAGGGCCATCTACAGGGAACACTTCAACCCCAAAACCTAAACCCTAAACCCCAAACCCTAAAGCCTAAACCCCAAAACCTAAACCCTAAACCCTAAACCCCAAACCCTGCTTTGTTCGTCACTTTCGGGTGTTTGCTGGGCTCTCCGCCCGGGAGCCCGGGAGCCCGACAGTCCACCCTTTTACGCGTTTCGGGTTTAGGGTTTAGGGTCTGGTGGGTCCCTTGTTGTGTAACCCTGATATACACTATACACAACAAGGGCCCATACTTCGGATCCCTGGCAATCAAGGCACCAGACGAAGTGCCCATGGTTCCAAGGGACTTCCAGCCAAAACCCCAGCTATTGCCCCCATTGGCTCCATGGGGCTTGAGTTTTTTCTAGGCTTTGGTGGTTTAGGGTTACGGGTTTAGGGTTTTGGGGGTTGAGGGGTTGAGGGGTTTGGGGGTTTAGGGAGTTTAGGAGTTTAGGGGTTCAGGGGTTTAGGGGTTTAGGGGTTTAGGGGTGTAGGGGTTTAGGGGTTTAGGGGTTTCGGGTTTCGGGCTTAGGGGTTTAATGTTCACGGTTTACAATTTGGGGCCCCGTATACGCCTCTGTGAAACCCAACAAGGGCCCACGTTAACCACAAACTCTAGTAAAAAAAAACTCATGTTGTTGGATGCGTGAACAAACCCTGCAACCTGTAACTCTCGAACCCTGAACCCTAAATCGTATAGACCCTAAACCTGCAGAATTCGAGCTGGATGAGGGTCAAGATTTGTTGCTTCCCAGGCGCTGGGCTTTCACCGCCTGCACCTCCGCCTGGCCATCGACCTCCCAGCCAATAGCAGGAAGGATTGGCCAAACCCTACTTAGTGGAACTAGAGTTTAGGGTTTGGGGTTTAGGTTCAAGGTTTAGGGTTGACGGTTTAGGTTAAGATCGTCACTTCATCGTCGATTAACCCAGCTGTGCGACCCAACAGCCAGCAAGACGACAAAGATGATCAAGCTCCGCTCTTCTATTCCGGGCTCCGGGGTGGCAAATGGCTAGAGATGGAAACCCTAAACCCTAAACCCTTTGGCTGTTGGGACATGTTGGGAATTGTTCCTGCGGTGGCGGCTGTCCAGTCCCAGCGGTGTGCGAGAATGCTGGGCGGGTGGCAAAAAACCCTAGAATTACCCTGAACCCTAAACCGGATGGTCGGCTCCCGAATCCTCGATGTTTTGCTTTTGTGGTGGCTTCTGGGATTCAGGGGTTTAGGGCTTCGAGCCCTAAACCTATAAAGACCTGGGTTTCCAGAAGTAGGGGGCAACGGGTTTAGGGTGTAAGGAGTGTTGTGTTTAGGCTTTGGGGTTGTGGGTTGTGGGGGTTGGACAGTGAGGATTAGAGTATTTCTCTTCTAGGAAATACTTCGGTGGAGATGAAGTCAAAAGGGTCCTGTGAATGGCAAATGGGCTTGCACCAGCTCTTGGGCAGTCAGATCTCTGCGGACTGCATCGCAGAAGCCCGTTTGTTGCATGTCCAAGCAGGCTTCTTCACATAAACCTTTCAAATTTCTCACCCTAGACCAACCCTAAACCCTAAACCCCGAACCCCGAACCCTAGGCCCCAAAAGCTTCGAAGCCCCCGGCCTCGAGAGCGGAGGTCTGCCCCTCGAGGGAGCGCACGAAGATGCGCATGGCCCCGGCTCTTCCCCCGGGGCTTGGGTTTGGGGGGGGGCAGCGGGGATCCCCGCAAGAACCGCTGGGCGGGCGGAGGGCGCGGCCGCGTGGCATGCTCAAGGGGTTCAGTTTGGAATACCAGCAGTCCTTCATAGAGGGTACGAGGATCCCGATTGACGACTGGTAGTAGAAGAGGCAACATCCCAAGGCTCAGGGTTTAGGTCCTGTAGGGTTTGGCGGGATGTTGGGAGTCAGAGCACAGAGTTGTGGGACTGTCCACAGGAAGCCTCCTTCTTAGGACTCGGCATGGGATTCACGAAGCTCAGCATCTCACAAAGAGTGACTAAGTGGAGGGACTTCGGGGTTTGGGGGTTTAGGAGAAGAATTGTCTCTCTAGAGAAGTCGAAGCCTAGCTGCCTAGCGGCACAAGCCTGGAAAACGGGTAAGTTCCCACACGCAACCCCAGCCCCAACCCTACATGCCAACGCCTTACATCCCTATCCTGGACCTCCAAACCTAACCCCTGAAATGCCCCCCAAAATAGCCCCAAACCCATAGACCCTAAACCCTAAACTCTAAACCCTTGCAGGCTCTCTTACGAGGTCCCTCCACGAGTCACTACTTCATACTAGCTCTAGATTCTAGATATTCCTCCCCCCCCCTCCAGGTTCCTTCCCTTGAAAAACAATCGAGCCCCAAACCCTAGAGACCCCAGCAGCCCAAAACCCTAAACCCCAAACCCCAAACCCCAAACCCTAAACCCCAACCTCTAAACCCTAAACCCTAAACCCTAAACCCTAAACCCTAAACCCTAAACCCCAACCTTTCGGCTCGCAGGGCCACTCCGGGGCGCCCAGACTCGGTCCACTCTTGTCCGCGGGGCTCCGGGACCTCCACGGTTTTGGAGTTTAGGGTTTTCGGGTTTCGGGTTTAGGGTTTTAGGGTTTCGGGTTTCGGGTTTCGGGTTTAGGGATTTAGGGTTTCGGGTTCAGGGTTTGGGGTTTAGGGTTTCGGGTTCAGGGTTTGGGGTTTAGGGTTTAGGGTTTCGGGTTTAGGGTTGAGGGTTTAGGGTTCAGGGTTCAGGGGGGGGGGGGGGGGGGGGGGGGGATTGGGCAAATTTGCGGTTTCGGGTTTGGAGTTTTAGGGTTTGGAGTTTGGGGCTTCGGGTTTAGGGTTTAGGGTTTTAGGGTTTTGGGGTTTAGGGTTTAGGGTTTTTGGGCTTTAGGGTTTTGGGGTTTTAGGGTTTTGGGGTGTTAGGGTTTGGGGATTCTAGGGTTTAAGGGTTTTAGGTCTAGGGTTTTAGGGTTTTGGTGTCTTAGGGTTTTAGGGTTGTAGGATTTGTGGTTTTAGGGCTTTGGGTTTCGATAAGCAGCGCAGCGAATAGCAGCTCAAAACCCCAAACCCTACAGAGTTTCGGGCTTAGGGCCTTCGAGTTTCCGCAATGCCCTTCCGTCTGTGCGTTCAACCCTGCGAATGTCCAGCTCAACAATGCTGCCTCGAAGATGCTCATCTAGCAAATTCCTAATCCCTAAACCCCAAGTAACTAACCTCCTGAGATGATCGAAACCAAACCCAATCTCCAAGAACTCCAGAAGCCAAAACCCTAAACCCTTAACCTTAGACCCTTCGGGGCCTCAACAGCCTAAACCTCTAACCCCGCAAACCCTGCAACCCCACCTAAACCCTAACCCCGAAAACCCTAAAACCCAAAACCTAAAACCCCAAATCCTTCAGACACCGAAAGCCCTAAACCCCTAAGAACCCCAGAACCCTCAAACCCCTGAATACCTGAACCCTAACCCTAAACCCTAAACCTTAAACCCTAAACCCTAAGCCCTAAACCCTAAAGCCCTCAGCCGACAAGCCCCTTCAACAAATACAAGAAAAGAACCGGGCCTCCCAGAACTCAGGCCCAGCCTCTGCCCATGGGCGAGGGGGAAAGACGGGCTTTTGGGGGGTTTTGGGGGTTTAGGGTTTAGGGTTTAGGGTTTAGGGTTTAGGGTTTAGGGTTTAGGGTTTAGGGTTTAGGGTTTAGGGCTTTCTGTTTCTGTTTTTTTGGGAGGGGGGGTGGGGTGGGGGCTTTGGGGTTTGGGGGTTGTGGGGTGTAAGGGCTTGAGGCTTGATGCTTCGGGTCTAGGGGTTTAGGCTTTCGGGCTCGGGCCTTAGGCAGGCTTTTTGGTCCAAAAAGCCTCTTTGTGGGCCAGCAAAGTCTGGAACCCCATTCCCCTTTTGCTTGGTTGCAAGAAGACGTTGGACGACAATCCCCACTTTGTGGGCATTCTGGCATACTTTCCACCATGGACCATGTTCCCCAAAACTATCCAAACCAGGGTTCTACAGCAGCGGCGGGGGACGCAGACGCTACTCCGTCGTGAGACTATGACATCCATGAAGGCTAGTCAGAACTCCCCACTCAGTATGTCAGAACTATGGGAATCCGATGTTGAGGTTTCGGCTGCTGTGTCCGCATGGGAACCGGCTGCGAGCGGGCTCTCGCCGAAGCACGGCGCCCGTGTCGGGTCAAAATCGCGCTCCCGTCTGAACACGCCTAGGTCTCTTGCGCGATGTGCGGTCCAAATCGCGCTCCTGCCTCTCGGTCCCACGCACTTCTTCGTAACCGCCCAGGGCCACAACAAACATGCCTCTCGGGCTCTTGGACAATTTGACTTCACGCGCCCCTTGCCAAGACATTTGCATTTCACGGCATTCAAAATCGCACTCGTGCAGAACTGTCCTTGATTCTGGGCTATGCACCTCCAAGCAGGGATTGAGGAGAGCTGTCTAGAACAGTGGAGCAGA